AGCAGGATATAAAATCAACATAGAAAAATCATTAGCATTTCTATACACTAACAATGAGCAAACGGAAAAAGAATGTATGAAAAACAATTCCATTTACAATAGCCTCAAAAAAATCAAATACCTAGGTGTAAACCTAACAAAAGATGTGAAAGACCTCTACAAGGAAAACTATACACTTCTGAAGAAAGAGATTGAGGAAGACTATAGAAAGTGGAGAGATCTCCCATGCTCATGGATTGGTAGAATCAACATAGTAAAAATGTCGTACTCCCAAAGTAATCTACATGTTTAATGCAATTCCCATCAAAATTCCAATGACATTCATTAAAGAGATTGAAAAATCTACTGTTAAATTTATATGGAAACACAAGAGGCCACGAATAGCCAAGGCAATACTCAGTCAAAAGAACAATGCAGGAGGTATCACAATACCTGACTTCAAACTATATTACAAAGCAATAACAATAAAAACAGCATGGTACTGGCACAAAAACAGACATGAAGACCAGTGGAACAGAATAGAGGATCCAGATTTGAAGCCACACAACTATAAGCAACTTATCTTTGACAAAGGAGCTAAAAATATACGATGGAGAAATAGCAGCCTCTTCAACAAAAACTGCTGGGAAAACTGGTTAGCAGTCTGCAAAAAACTGAAACTAGATCCATGTATATCACCCTATACCAAGATTAACTCAAAATGGATCAAGGATCTTAATATCAGACCCCAAACTCTTAAGTTGATACAGAAAGAGTAGGAAATACTCTGGAGTTAGTAGGTATAGGTAAGAACTTTCTCAATGAAACCCCAGCAGCACAGCAACTAAGAGATAGCATAGATAAATGGGACCTCATAAAACTAAAAAGCTTCTGTTCATCAAAAGAAATGGTCTCTAAACTGAAGAGAACACCCACAGAGTGGGAGAAAATATTTGCCAACTATACATCAGACAAAGGACTGATAACCAGAATATACAGGGAACTTAAAAAACTAAATTCTCCCAAAACTAATGAACCAATAAAGAAATGGGCATGTGAACTAAACAGAACTTTCTCAAAAGAAGAAATTCAAATGGCCAAAAACACATGAAAAAATGCTCACCATCTCTAGCAATAAAGGAAATGCAAATTAAAACCACACTAAGATTCCACCTCACCCCTGTTAGAATAGCCATCATCAGCAACACCACCAACAACAGGTGTTGGCGAGGATGTGGGGAAAAAGGAACCCTCTTACACTGTTGGTGGGAATGTAGACTAGTACAACCACTCTGGAAAAAAATTTGGAGGCTACTTAAAAAGCTGGACATCGATCTACCATTTGATCCAGCAATACCACTCTTGGGGATATACCCAAAAGACTGTACGTTACTCCAGAGGCACCTGCACATCCATGTTTATTGCGGCACTATTCACAATAGCCAAGTTATGGAAACAGCCAAGATGCCCCAGCACTGACGAATGGATTAAGAAAATGTGGTATCTATACACAATGGAATTTTATGCAGCCATGAAGAAGAACGAAATGTTATCATTCGCTGGTAAATGGATGGAATTGGAGAACATCATTCTGAGTGAGGTTAGCCTGGCCCAAAAGACCAAAAATCGTATGTTCTCCCTCATATGTGGACATTAGATCAAGGGCAAACACAACAAGGGGATTGGACTATGAGCACATGATAAAAGCGAGAGCACACAAGGGAGGGGTGAGGATAGGTAAGACACCTAAAAAACTAGCTAGCATTTGTTGCCCTTAACGCAGAGAAACTAAAGCAGATACCTTAAAGCAACTGAGGCCAATAGGAAAAGGGGACAGGAACTAGAGAAAAGGTTAGATCAAAAAGAATTAACCTAGAAGGTAACACCCACGCACAGGAAATCAATGTGAGTCAATGCCCTGTATAGCTATCCTTATCTCAACCAGCAAAACCCTTGTTCCTTCCTATTATTGCTTATACTCTCTCTACAACAAAATTAGAAATAAGGGCAAAATAGTTTCTGCTGGGTATTGAGGGGGGAGGAGGGGGTGGAGTGGGTGGTAAGGGAGGGTGGGGCAGGGGGAGAAATGAACCAAGCCTTGTATGCACATATGAATAATAAAAGAAAAATGAAAAAAAAAAGAAAAATGAAAAAAAAGAAAAAGAAAAAAGACTGCGACCTGATGAGAACAAAGGAAAAGAGTTGCAGCTGGCTGGTGTTTTGCGTCTCCAGGGTGTTGACTATTGAGGGGCTTGTTCTCTAAAGTGACAATCTGATGCTGGATTCACGTTTCTGCTGTGGAAGTGAATAAACCAATGCTATGGAGTTGCCCAACTTAGCAAAAAACATAAATTCAGGACTTCTCAGTTAAGTTCAAAGATAAATAAAATTAAGTTTTTTAGAATATTTATGCTAACAAATTGGCATTAGACATACCAATACTTACAAAGTCACTGTTGTTCATCTAAAATTCAACATTTTATTAGTTGTTCTACATTTTACCTGGCAATGCTACAAGAGTGAGCAATGTCTGACTAAGTATCTTTTTTCTATCTAGCCTTTCAGACTCTTCCCCTCTTGCACGCCTACTGGCACAGCCAGCATTGGAAAGCCAGTTGTCAAAGGCTGAACAGCGGTTTGTAGGATCAAAAAGCGATAAAGGGTGCGATCTAGAACTGAGAGAAATGATCCATTAATTGGTACAGTCCACCCTTTTGGCTAACACATCCATGCACATTGTTCCATACATTTGGCTTCCAAATAACAATAACAACAACAAAACTCTAACAAAATTGTTAACAGTGGGGCTGGAGGCTTGGCTCCAAAATGGGAAGAGGCAAAGTCTCAACAGCCATTTTATTCGTCTCTGGAAGATAGTCACATTATCCATCTCTAGGAAGGATTCAATTGCTCTTAAAATTCAGTCACAGTTACACTTGAAAATGCTGTTACACAAAGAATAAAGTGTAGAATTAACCTCCAACAAAAGTTATGTGCCTGCACAGGAAATCAATGAGAGTCAACTTCCTGTGTAGCTATCCTATCTCAACTAGCAAAAACCCTTGGTCCTTCCTATTATTGCTTATACTCTCTCTTCAACAAAATTAGAGATAAGGGCAAAATAGTTTCTGGCTGGTAGCGAGGGGTTGGGAGGGGAGGGGGAGGGGAGTTGAGGGAGGAGGTGGGGGAAGTGGGGAGAAATGACCCAAACATTGTATGCACATATGAATAAAAAAGTTATGCGCCTAGAGGAAGGGAGAAAAGTCAGTTAATGTATAGAGTCACATAACTATCAAGGAAAAAACACATACAGCTACTATATTCCTCCTTAATTTAACCCATCACAAGGCTACAGCTGATATTTTTTGTGAGAAGTGTTAAATATTCTTTATTTGATATTACACATAAACCACACTAATATGCCTTTCAATAAGTGAAAGTCAGCATTTTATTTTTAAAAAAAAACCAATTTATTTCTAATAGAAGTAGTTAAATCATACAAATCAGTAACTGAGGCCGTGCCTTTTCATTACCATAAAAATAAACTGGAGACAAAAAGATATAACACTTAGTGCATGGCTCACAGAAATAAAATATTTATAGTTTCCTTAATTTCTACTGAATCAATAGCTACAAAATGACATGAAAATAACTAGCTTTTTTTGAGTCCTTCATCACACAGCAACTGAATAGTCACAGCTATAGGAGATTTACTAAATTCTTTTGAACAAAGATAACAATGGCAAATGTGCAAAAATATTCTGGTTTTAAAAGGTAGCATTTTAAATACAGGGAATTCTGTTTAAATTGGCATAGTGAAGACCAAAATATAGACATTGCTTCCTATCTTCAACGTTGCCTTGAACTGGCAAATGATCACACATTGAAATAAGGTGAGTCTTGCTCAGTTTTGAGAGAGTCAAGGAATTTTTAAACATATCCACATAACTAGTTATGTAAGTCTAAACATAAAACCAATCCTCACTAAGTTTTAAGGTAGCATTCCCCATCTTTGTGAAAAGTTGGACATTACTAATTAAATCCAATAATATCTTTAGAAAGGGAAAACAGCAACAATATTTACTCAACTAGAATTACTATTTTAAAAAAACAAAAAAAGACCATATTCACTTAACTACAAGCCAATTTTACTTAAATCACAACTGACGAACAAAAATATTCTGTCAGCCATTCATGATCTGAATTTTCATACACATAAAAAACCATGAGATATTTCTGTTTTGTAATAAAGAAGGCAGTGGCTATTACACATTAGTAGCTTTTTTGAGATAAACTATCAAGTCTGCCCTTTCTCCCTTCTTCTTAATGCCATTGAAGACCATTTTTTGTTTCAAGGATGTACTTTTTGGAGTTCTCCAAATAATTCATCAGTGTATCCTCTCACCAGGTGATGCCTTTGTCCTTGTTGGTATCTGTGCAAAAGAATCTGGTGGCCTGACCTGTCTTGTGCCCAAACAGACCATGGAGATTGGGCCCAGTCTTATGCTTGCCTCCCTTCCCACAGGTGGCACTGGTCACACTTCTGAACAAAAATCTTGCCTTTCTCAACATCACCTATTTTTATTTGCTCTTTTGCCACTATCACAACAAAGGAAACTACTCACAAGCCCGACATCCGGCTTTCTCCACAGCTGATATTTATAAATTTCTTCCTCAGTCTTCTACTCCATGTTGAGTCCTCACACAGGATTCAATATGCCCAGTGTTCTTTACCCAGTAAGGTGCCACAGATGTTCATTTCTAAAGGAAGGCCCAGAGTCTTCAGTAGCCCGGCCTCTCTATGTTCTCATTTTAAAAGTATGTCTCTATCAATTTGTCCCATAAGTGAATCATTCTAGGGGACTCACACTGCTTTTTGGCTTCTAGCTAAGTATGTGGATCCCATTTTTTCATTTGGGATAACAGTAGCAGCACCTGGCTAACTGATCCTCTCTCAGGGATAAGTAATGCAGGATCTGTTCTATAACAAAAGGGCACGGATTTGCTCTAAAAGCCCCCACATGCCTTCAGGTTTGACTTCTATAAGAACTAAGGAAGATTGCTTCTTCCCCCATAGGTCCTTGGTGTTGGGAACTCTACTAAGGGTCTTCTCTTGGGTTTTGGGGGCCAGTGGCTAGAGGTTGATCACAGGCCACTCTGTTGTAGGCACAGCCTCTGTCGCTGTGGCAGGGATCCTGGCTGCTCTGCGAATCACCAAGAACAAGCTCTCCAATCATGTGTTTGTTTTCCTAGGCGCGGGCGAGGTAAGTGCCATTAGAGGGTACTCTTGTTCCAGCAGGAAAATAAGAATGAGGGGAGGAGTATCAAGGAAGGGAGCTCTGGGACTCTGAGAAGAAGTAGCACAAGTATTCTGGTCATTTCAGCTGTCTGAGATTCAGCTCTAGCATTTCTCATGTCAAGGGCTTAACTGGGCCTTCTTGGAGTTGTGTAACTGGGGGGGAAGAAGAGGGACTCATTTTGGTGAGGCATCTGATACATGCTGAGTAGCTCTTTGCCCTGTGTCTAAACATACTCCTTATGGTACCTCTCAGGCAGGAATGGGCATCGCCAAACTCCTTGTCATGGCGCTAGAGAAAGAAGGTTTATCCAAGGCAGAGGCCACAAAAAAGATCTGGATGATGGACATCGAGGGGCTGATTGTCAAGGTACTGTCATTGTGAAGAACTGGAGTTTTCCTGAGAGTCAGAGTTTCCAGGAACTGGATGGGAAGAGTTCTCCAAGGGGCAAACTACCCTGACAGAATAGAGAGCAAAAAGAGGGCAATGGTCTAAGCTCAAAGCCAAAGCCTTCATTGCTCTTTTCCAAAAATTCTGAATGTGTGGGTGGGTGGGTGTGTGGGTGTGGTGCCCCTTCCAGCCTTCTCTCCCACCACTTTCTGCCTTGCACTAACCTTCAGCCATATTGAATCACAGTTCTCCAAATGTCATCTGCTCTCTCTCTTCCACATCTTCGCACATTTTGTCCTTCTGCCTGAAATTTTCCTTCTCCCTTTTCTGCAAACTCATTCTCAAAATCCTCAACTCCCTCCCAGTTTCCTTTTTATCTTCCTATTGAGCTCACATGTCACATTCTCTAAAAAATGTCCTGGAGCATCTAGGTATCAATTAACTTCCTCTATCTATGCTCATATAAACCTCCCCCCTTCTATACACTGCACTACCACTTTGTAGAAGAGTTGCCTTTTCATTTGTCTGTCTCTACTAGTTCGATTAGCTGTATGGTCTTGATGTCAATGTCTAGCACCTGGCAAGTACATAATTGATGTGTGAGGTATGAGGGAAAGAACAAACAAGAGAAGCAGCTCAGCTTTGGAATAGAATGTGGTGAGGGACACAAATGGATGACCCTCTCCCTTAGAGTTTTGCTTAGTGTTCCATGAATTCTATTAACACAGAATGTCAGTGAGAGATGAAAAGCAATGGCAGGGATGGAAATTGAGAAGCACTGGGGGGTCATCAACCAAGAATAGCAGAGACCCTCAGCAGAAACAGGCCTTCCTATTGCTCCATATGAAACCAGATTGCTGCTAGAAGGAACTTAGGCCTGGAGATTCCGTTTCCCAACCCCATGTCATTTCAGAACAGAGTCTAGCCACAATTACAGGCTACCAGAACCTGCTACTCTTCTCACTTGCTCATTTTTCAACATCATTTTTCTCACCCTGCTGAGCTCACCCCTACCCAAGGAGTTCTCAAAGCTAGCATCTTCACTCTAGTTCTATGAAGTCACCAGAAATGTCTGTACTCATTTACCAGCACCTATACTTTCCTGTCACCTTCAGATTTCTACTTGAAGAAATAAAAGGAATCTGGATGGCTGAATGCAACAGTGATTCTAAGTGTGGGGATTGGTTTAGTACTGTTCACAGAGAGGCTAATAGCTCTTGTAAAATACATTCACGTTACCTCCTAACCCTGGAAGTCTCAAATCCTCATACCTCAAGTGGGCGCGAAGAGTATTTCTGTCAAAGCCAAAGAAGCCATTGACCTTGGCAGCTAAAAAAAAAAAATGCTTCATGGATTTTCCCTCTGTGGTTTGGTTAGTTAAAGAAACACCCTCATGTGCATGCATGTACACAGGCACACATTTAGTTTCCACTGAGGTTCTACTGGAAGATCCAATAAAGAGTGTGAGTCTTAAGGCTTCTGAAAGCTCAGAGCAAAGCATGAGGCTCACCGAAGGGCTCTCAGAAATTCCAAATTCATCAGCACCCCTGCCCAACACCATAGCTGCTTCATGATCCTTCTTTTCCAACAGGGGAGGAGTGACCTGAACCATGAGAATGAGATGTTTGCCAAAGACCATCCTGAAATGAAATCTCTGCAGGAGGTAGTGAGGCTAGTGAAGCCCACAGCCCTTATAGGTAGGAGAAAGAAGCAACCCACTGCCCAGCACAGCTAACCCTCTTGACTTACAGACTGAGGCTCAGCCAAGAGGCCTAAAAAACCTATGGAAACACAGCTCTGCCCTCTACTCCATGTCCAATTCAATACCATAAACTTTTATTGAGTGGTTTCTGTATAAAAACCATAGAAATGAGCCAGAGTTGTGATTTGATGATGTAGGATGATATAGAGCAGTAGAAAAGCACAGAGCTGGTCTCTAACCAGGAAGAGATGAGCACTCCTCCCACCCTGGCAGGGACTCTGGCATCTCTTCCTGTTCTAGGGGAGCTGCCAATTCTCAATGGCAATGCCTAGGAATGCCTTCAAGGTGCATCTATTAGGAACCTACAGAAGACTGGTGTTCTCAGGGATGAACAGGAGGGTTCAGGCAGCTCAACCAGGAGGACTCTTTCTCCTTCTGCTTCCTCAGTTCTTATGGCTGACACCATCCCTAACTCTCATGGGTCTGTCATGGTATGCCTAGTTGCCTAGCTTCAGGAGCTGCTGTGGTTCACATGGTAGATCACCTAATTGCCTAGTTGCCCCACCCCCACCACCAGGAGAGGAATGGAGTATTTATACTGAATAGGTGTCCCCAGTGTCCCCTTTTCCCTGTAGGTGTTGCTGCTGCCTCAGGAGCCTTCACGGAGCAGATTCTGAGGGACATGGCCTCCTTCAATGAGCGCCCTATCATCTTTGCCCTGAGCAACCCCACCAGCAAGGCTGAATGCACAGCTGAGAAGTGCTACCTACTCACTGAGGTCAGCAGGGAATCCTTCCTTTCCACCCCACCCCCAAGAGGCCACAATAACAATAACTACAAGCAATCCCCATGAGGGTGAAAAAATTCCCCATCACCATGGAATAAAAAGGTTTAGAATGATTATGCAACTTGCCCAAGGTCCCAGAGTTAATAAAGAGGAAAGCTGGCCCTCAAACCCAGGCCTGACTCCAAATCCCAAGCTTTCACTGTTAACAAGAAAAGGTATTTTCAGAAGATCTTGGTCCCTGTGCTGCATGGAAGAACCCAAATAGAACACATGGGTATAATTGGGGTTTATTAAAAGTTAGGGAAGGGAAATACAGGTGGAAGCTGGGAAGCAGAGAGAATGTGCTTCTCTTCTCCAGGTACTTTTAAAACCTACATTAACCTATGAGAAGGGAAGAACCAGGCGATTCCCATTCAAAAGTCAATGAGTGGAGGGGTATGGGCAGTCCCAGGCCAGGTGAGGCCAGTCCGAGCCATCCCCGCACCAGGCATGGGCAACCTACACACACACACACTATTAAAGCATATATTTTCTATGAGCCCCAAACTTTCCCTAATTCAAGCCTGCCTCAAATTCCCCCTTAGAGACAAGATCCCAAAAACATCTTTTTGAGGTTGTTGAGGGGCTGGAGTTCTTTTCCTTCTGAATCTTCTTTGAGCTGACAAGGGGCACCTAGCTATCTACAAGGGGAAATGGTCTCTCCTATTTCTTTCTCTGGGGACTCATTCGGACACAAGGTGTCTGAATTATTGTCCAGCCAGTCATAGTTTCTCATGGAGATCTAGGCAGTCCAGGAGATCTTGTTCATCTGTAGAGCCAAAGAGTCCTACTGTCTCATGATTTGGGTCCCAAAGGCTTTTATCCTAGAATAGATAAATCTGGTTTAGAAGGCATGACCTGAACATTAACAGTGATAGGAGCATCAGAAGGGGGCTCTGTCAGATGTAGTAGGAAAGACAAAGAATCTAAATTTTTATTTTGAAAAGTGACAAGTCTTATGGTTACTTTTTATAGGTGTCTTTACCTGTACCTATTTTTGACCCTTGGAAGGACCCCTATTTTGACTGCCAGTGTAGTGGGCAGTTAAGGACTGATTATTTGGGGTAATAGTTACATTATGGGCAAGGTGTGCCAGTCCAATTAGAGGGTAATCATCAATGAGTCAGTGCTATACAAAAGACTCACAATGTCTCTAAGCAGAAGTTAAACACCATTGAAAATAGAACACAGGAGAGTATAAATAGCTCTGAGTACTATTTAAAAGACAGATCTGGAGCTAGTAGAAATGGTCATATTGCCTTTGCTTAAACAGAAGGCCTTGGCCGAGGATATGATCGTGCCTTTTGCCAGAAGCCTAGAAGGTTTAAATATTAGAGCACATGCATAAGAGCCCCTTTTTAAAATCTCTCAACTGGTTACTTTTAGAAGTCTGGCACAATTAACTTTATCTAGATCTGGAGAAATTCCCTCATTTTGTATTCCTTTTGAACTGTAGTCCTTTTAAATTGTTTCTCTGAACAGTTATCTCTGAAGATTTTTCCAATTTGGCAGTTTTGTCCCTCGGAGCCAGGAGAAGCCTCTCCTGGAAAGTCATAGATTCTTTTAGACAGTCAGATTTTGTTCCACAGAAGAGGGGAGGCAACACATCAAACAGATCAGAAGTCAACGCCAATGCAACTCTTTTGGCCAAATTAAGCAACAAAGGGACTTATTTTTAAAAATGATTGTTAGTCTGGGCTTAATTAAACCTAATTGTCAGTCCCATAGAGGATGTACTAATACCTTTAAATTGTTGTAAAGTGTCAAAAGACAACAGTTACAAAGTTTTACAAGGAAAATATAAAACAATCCCAATACTTAACAATGTCTGTCCTTGTTGACAAATAAGCACTTGTAAGAGTCATTTTTCATGGGCTTATCTGTAAATGTTTCAGAAGATCAGAAGTGTAATGACAAAACTTAAAATAACCATGGTTAACAGTTTAGCAATTAACATAACATCTAATTACTTTTAGTTTTATGTAGTACTATTAAATCTCTCATTACAGTTGGGAACACATGCACTAACTTGTAAAAGAAGTTAAGACACCAGCTTGGTACAGTGTCTTTTTATAACTCTATTTTAGAAGGCTTGTATACTTGAAGAACATAAAGTCACCTAACACAGGAAGGACCCAATAGCAGCATTACAGTTTAAACCTTGAATTTTGGTTATGTAAGGTCAGTGGTTGTCAATACTGCCAATACATATGGTACTGAAAATTAAAACCCTACATTTTCCAATGGTTAAGGGAAGGCAGTGTCAGAAATTCCAAGTAGCCCCTGTTTTAACACTCAATTGCATTAAGTCTATATAAAACAATGTCAGATAAATATTGATTTATCTGACAAACAGATGTCAGGCCTTAATGGCAGAACTTTTAGCATTTGTCAAGAGCAGAAATGTCAAAGACCTCATTAGATAGAATGTATACTTTAGGTAAAAGAGCTAACAAAAACTTTCCAAACAACAGTTTTACATTAACTTATAAAAGTAGTGGAAGAATCATCCTAAAGACATCTAAACACACACACACACACAGATGTTTTGACATAGGAATGCCAAAAAATGTCAATTTAAGCACACATGTGTGGGCTCAAAAAAGTAAAAATTCAGTGGCCACACTGGTAGGAGACAAAGACATACACAGAAAACACACACAAGGACACACAAAACAATCGCATTAATTTAGCGTGTACTCTTAAATTACTTTTGTTATTATTTTTAATAGTTTAGCCAGCTAGATTTTTAAGTAGTTTATAACAGATCTTTAACACAAATACTGTATTTTTGTCCAATCCTTAACAGATTAGTGCATTAAAAACAACATATATAAAAACTAAATTAATTTAGAGAATTTTAACCACAAATTAGTTATAATTTTCCTAGAGGATGACTAGATGGGGTCACCCATGAGTTTTCTATCCCTAGGGACTGGCAAGATGGTGCAGGACATGTGGTGGCTTCATTATGGTGGCAGTATTTCCTGTGACCACACGATCCCTCCAAAGGCTCTCTTAAATGGAACACAAAGACATGTAACATACAACATACAGGCTCAAAATAGCAGTCCGTTACAGGATAAAGACATCTCCCCCTGAGAGACAGGTGTTATTACTCATGAGTTAGTCATCTTTTTAGGTTAGCAGGAACAAAGCACTTCCAGTATTTAAGGATATAGTCAAGGTGTGAATATGTTGGCTTCCCCTACGCTGGCTGGTAGAAACAGAGAGGGAAAGAGAAAGGGGAATTTGCCCTTTGAGAGAGAAATTAGACCTTCTGAGATCCCCAAGATATCTCTTTTGTCTCAAGGAAGTCTCCAGTATAGGTCCCTTTGACCTGGTTTATCTGACATCTCCACATGGCAGCAAGACAGAGTACTCTAGCTTCCAGGAGGATGCCTGTTCTCCTAAGGGTCCGCCTCTCAAGCCTTTCTTGGGGCTCCTGAATGGACTGCTGATTCTGAACACTCACCCAACTATTATCCAAATGAAGAGACTAAATAATCGAAGCAAACTAAGGTGGGATTTGAACTCATGGCCTCACACTTGCTAGGCAGGTGCCCTACCGCTAGAGTTGTGCTGCCAACTCTTGTTAATTTCTTAAGAGAAGAGACCTGGAACAACCTTTAGGATCTGGTAACAAGCCCCACTAATCCCATCAGTGAAGGATGCCAGCCGCTTACCAGCATGCCCGGGACATGTATCCCTGGGACAGGGGAATGTGACCTCAGGGTGAGCCTTTCTGTGACCCCTGCAGGCCATGGGGACCAGGAGAATGAGGGCAAAAGCTGGCACCAGGTGCCCAGGGCAAACAGAGTCATGGCAAGTAGATGGGCAAGGGAGTGGGACAGGGGAGGAAAGGAAGAAGGGTACGGATGTTTGACAGCCACAGGAAAGAGGGGTCCAGCCTAAGGCCTGGGACCATGGTCACCAGAGCTGGTGCCTAGGGCAGCAGCAGAAGAGCAGTGGCCACAGAGCCCAGGCCATGTGGGTGGCAGGTCTTGGGGCGCACCTGGCACTGGTACCACATTTTGTCTTCACTGCTCCCTCTGGCCTACTAGGCCACGTTGCTCACAGGCTCCCGGGATCCATCTCTACTTTTCTTCTTGCCTCCAGGGCCGAGGGATCTTTGCCAGTGGAAGTCCTTTCAAGAGTGTGACTCTGAAAGATGGCAAGAAATTCACTCCTGGGCAGGGAAACAATGCCTATGTGTTTCCCGGAGTGGCACTGGGAGTCATTGCTGGAAGGATCCGGCACATCCCAGAAGAGATCTTCCTCCTGACAGCAGAGGTATCACTGTGTGTCCTCTTTCAAATGCTTCCAATAGGACCTGTGATAAATACCAGATCTGTAGACCCAGTGCCCCCTAAAGATTCCTTCTCTCTTGTTTCTATATACCTGCCCTCAACCCTGGCAATAAATCCCCAAAGTTATTGAACCTCAAGTATCTCTCAAGGTTACCTTGAAGCTTGGCCTTCCTCTGGTCCCCATCGGGTATTTGAGGGGAGATGGGGAATTGTCAGTGGAAGGGGTTAGTAGGAGGCACTGGGTGAGGGAACATACCTAGTACTGCTCCCAGCAGTGCCATCTAGATGCCTAGACAGAGGAGATACCCCCAAAGCCACCTGAAACTGGTGACTTATGGACCATGACAGGTGATAGATTCTTCCAGGTATGGCCTTGGACACATCGCTGGGATAATTAGTAGCAGTAGGCCTCACTAGGACACTTCATAAGGAAGCAGATGGGTTGCACGCTTGGCTTTGCCTACTCTGAGCACAATGATAGGTGTGTTGGGGATGCACCTGGTCCAGGTATATCATACCTGAAAAGCTCCTGGATGGTTCCTTACTAGAAGAAAGGGTTTCTTTACAATGAAAGAATTCATTAATAATGATATCTCACATTCATATTACTGATTATTAAGAACAACTGCAACACTGACATTATCAAGTGCCTACTAAGTGACCGGCACTTGACATTTATTCTTACTCTGAAGAAATCAAGGCAGAGAACTGTCTCTGTTGGAAGTATAAGCTAACTGAAGCTGTAGACAAATATTAAATGTATTTATACCTGACAAGCCCCACAGGCTGCCCTGGACTTCTAACCTCCTGGATTTCCTCTTCATCAAAAGAGAGTCCATAATCAATGAGACACAGAAATGACTTCCATGCAGCCCTGTCCAGATCCATCTCTCTAAGTCCCAAAAGGAATTGTCCAATCCCCTAACTCCCTTTTTACAATGTCTACTTTGAGCACTGGGCTGCCACACATTACTTAATGACACATGAAGGCTTTTAAGCTATCTTTCAACCCTGTGCACACCAGATATGACAACACTCTGTCCTTCTTATCTGAGTATTCTAAATTTGCATTTTGTCCCATTGCTATGATGTGTGTTCCTACCTTGTGGCTGTCAGCAGAGCTGTTTGAAGCCCTCAATGGATGGGAAGAATCACATCCTTCTTAGAATCAACCTGAAATCAAATTCCCTTGTTGTGTAGAAACACAGTTGCTAGAGCTCTTCTTTTGTGGCACCAGAAAACATCTGTACACTTACTGACTAGTGCTGGCAGATACTTTGGTTCCAAAATTTCATGAGCAGTTCCCATCACATAGATGCCTCTCCTCATCTACTTACGAAGCACCTACTGTGAGCAAGGTAACCCCTCCCCTGTGGGATCTACAGTCTGGTCTTCAAAGGCCCAACAACTTGTATTTCTAGAAAGGGTGCTTTTAGTTAAAAGTATTTAAGTTGAATTTTATTTTCCTAAGGAAATTTAATATAGGTTTCAGGAGATTTACATTCACTACCTCATTTAACCTTAACAATTATATAAAACAAGTACTGTGGCTTTTCCCTATGGAACCTCAGCGCCTAGCACAGAGCCTAGCATATTATACAGCTAGGTGAGATGGGAGTGTGAGAAGGAGGCAAAGAAAGGAGAGACTCACTTCCTCAATGCCTGAAAACTTGGGGGCAAGACAAATTCCACTGCCCTATCACTTCTGGCACAAACATCTCTCAGAGACCTCGTGGAAGATGGAGGAGAGGCTTTTCTCAGACCAGGACCATGGCCAGAAGGGAACCCTAAACACAGACAAATGATGTTGCTTAGATGGGCACCCATCTAATTATGAGAAAGGTCAGCTTGCATAGCATGTGGAATTCAGGGATCCTTGTGCAATAGGCTAGACCAACCCAGAGGACATTCCATAATCTTTGCTTTGCAGGTCATGGTTTATTCATCTTGGTCTCGGTGATTTTCCTTTAGAATTTGGAAGGCCTTGTGTTGTTCTAAGTCTCAGCCAGACTCACAATACAGAAAGAATGCTCCTTGTTTAAGCCTAAGCACTTACCTCCCTTGGGGCTACATGGCAGAGTTAACAGTAGGAACTGCAATGTCTGACCACCTGTGCCAAGCTACATGAGTCTCTGGGGTAATGGGTTGGACTTGGTCTGAAAAGGCAGAAACTCAGCTTATTTCTCTTGGTTCTCTCCCTCTCTCCAGCAAATTGCCCAGGAGGTCTCTGAGCATCATCTTTCCCAGGGGAGACTGTACCCACCACTCAGCACCATCCAAGATGTGTCTCTAAGAATTGCCATCAAAGTAAGAAGCATCCTATCTTACAATAACGGGTGACACTCAACTACTTTCTCTCTGACTTTGGAGGGCTAAGGGGATGGCAGATAATAGGAATTCTAAGCTACTTGGATTTCACTTCATGCAACTCATAGGCTGAGGGACAAATTTCTGCCTACAGCCGGAGCCCACCCCCAACACCCACCTAAGCCAGTTCTGGGAAAGCTCCCAGATTTCCCAGCAAACATCAGACAGAAAGGTCATGGAAAGCCCATGCTCTTGTGAGCAGAATGTGGGTGGAATTTCTTTTTTAAATGAATGAGTCATGCATTTATGAGAAAGGTCAGCTTACATGGCATCATAGAAAGGACTTGGGCTTTGGGGTCCCAGCTCTGCCAAACAGCAGTGGGATAATCTTGACCCAGTCACTTCACTTCCCTGAGCCTCAGTTTCCTCCTTTTCTAGAGAGGCCAGTAATCCCTCTCTCCCAGAGTTCTGAAGAAGATTTAAAGAGAACATTGAGAGAGATCCGTATCTAGTGCCTGCTTAGCCTGGGTCGATGCTCATTCTTCTCAGTTTTCTCATAATAGCTGGACCATGGTGTGATCAAGTTCATGGAATATTCCAGTCTCTGAGACTATGCAGACATGACAGGTTTTTCAAGGAATCAGAGCATGGTGTAATAGACTAGCTCAAAATGACCATTGAAGCTGGATAATACATATGTGAGGGTTTACAATACTACTATTTCTGTTAGTTATATATTTTTTTCTATAACTTTTTATAATAATTTCAGAAAATGCATTACACAACAACACACGTTCCCTGTGAGTTGTCTAGTACAGGATCCCTCAAGAATCGGTCCTCAAGAACAGCAGTCCAGCTCACAGTCCAGTTCTGCCCTGTCCAGTTCCTTCCTTTTGGAGATATTTAGATTCACACTCTCCTGAAGCCAGATCTAATGCCCAGAAGTGACTAGTATGTTCATGCATTTCAAGCCACATCCAGGAGAGATGTCTAATTAAGTGTAGACACTTTTACCTATTCCCTAATTTTAGCCTCACACCGCTCCAGAGAAAGATATTGTTATCCCACTTTACAAATGCAGAAACTGTGGTGCAGCAAGGATAATGTCACTGCTGGGGTCCCACAGGCAATTAGAAGAGGGCAGAATTTAAGCTAGACCTCTTGACCTTGGCCCAGCACCTATTCTACTATGTCAACTTTACCTGGCTAGGAAAAAAAGCTTAAAATCCTTCCTATCCAGTGGTTTCCTGGGCCACAATTCATAAGAGGAATATGTCTGGCTCATCAGGGTGTATTTCCCTGTCCCAGTCTGCCAAGCAAGGGTTTTTAGGCAGGTTTTCTTGGAGATCCACTTCCTCAGCCAAACATGTTCTTTCCTAGATCCTCGACTATGGGTACAAACACAACCTGGCCTCCTTCTATCCAGAGCCCACGGACAAGGAGGCTTTTGTAAGATCCCTGATCTACACTCCAGACTATGAAGCCTTTACAGTGGACTGCTACAGTTGGCCTAAGGAGGCCATGAATTTTCAGACGATCTGATGTGGGGCTTATAATATTCACAATATAAATGGGCCCCAAAATGGCCATTCTTATCACTGTGTTTTTGTTTTTTCCTTTGCATGTTCTGGTGTGAGGGAAGATGCTGAGATATACTGAGTGACAGCCTTGTCCCTGAAGGCTCTGGGAATTCACTTTGTATAACCCTTTTCTTAGTTGCTTCCCAAACTTAATTGCCAGCTATTGTCTAGGCCTTGTGGGAAATACAGAATCCTGCCTAGAATCCTACCTTTATACAGCTCAGGGTCTAGTAGTAGTAATTGAATACAACTCTTTCTGCAAGTGGTAAGTCCATGAATAAAAACAAATGTGCAGATAAAGGTCAAGGGGGGCCAAAGACAGGAGAGGATACTTCCTATGAGGACATAAGGCTCAAGGGAGCAGTGTTTGCATGGAGTCCCAAGAGTGAAGGATGGAGGGGAGTCATGGGCAGCTGAGGAATATGAGAATAGCCACCAGCCAGAAAATGTGATTCAACCATCCAGCTGGAAGTTTAGTCTCTGTCAGAGAAATATACTCCCTTCAAGACTCAGTAGGGCGTGAGCTCAGAATGGCTGGAGACCACTAATTAGTCAGGAATGGTCACTTCCCTGAGGGTTGTTGAGTATTAGAGACATTCTTTTCTGGTTATTACTAAAAGGAAAGCCAGAGAAATGTGGGTGGAGAGGGTCAGTATGCTATAGAGTAAGAGAAAGAGAAGCAATGAGAGGAGAACACCATAGGGAGTTCTAAGGAAGACTTGATTTCATTTTCCTAGCTCTGGCTTCCTTGGGGCGTTTAGCCAAGAATACCGTGAGCAAACAGCCATCTTCCATGGCCCTTGGGCTCACAGAGAATGTGAAGGTTTCCAGAGGAGGGTTTGAAGAGAGAAGCTGGGATCTGAAAACCATTATCTCTTTTAAACTTTTTTTTTTTTTAATATCGTGTTACAAAACCCTGCAGGCTTTTTTCTTTTTTTTTTTTTTTTTTTTTTTTGTGGTACTGGGGCTTGAACTCAGGGTCTACATCTTGAGCCACTTGCCACCAGCCTTTTAATGATGGGTTTTTTTCAATTGGGTTTCGCCAACTGTTTGTCGGGGCTGACTTCAAACCAGGATCCTCCTGATCTCTGTCTCCTGAGTAGCTAGGATTACAGGTGTGAGCCATGGGCGTCCACTCCCAACACATACACCTTTTTTTTTTTTTAATAGATATTGGCAAGCTGATACAATTTAAATGGGAATGCAACAAATACTGCCATACTGCCAGCCCTTTCTGTGTTGGGTTTTTTTAAGATAGGATCTCGCTTTATGCCCAAGCCAGCCTGGACCAGGGTCCTCCTATTTGTGCTTTCCCTGCATAGCTGGGATGACAGTGTGGCCCCCACACTCAGCCATTGGTTGAGATGGGGTCTTGCAGACTTTTTGCCTGGGCTGGCTTCAAACCAAGACCTGAATGATCTCAGTCTTCCGAGTAGCTGGGATTACAGGCTTCAGCAAGCATAGCCAATTTAACCAACTTTTTTTATCAAGGTACACTATTCAGTTTCAAAGACTTACTACAAAGACGCAGTGGCCAAGAATATGATCAGATAGATGAATGGAAAAGAATTAAGCGTTCACAAATAAGTCCTTATATTTATTGTAAATTGATTTTTCGTCAAAGCTACTCAATGCAGTGAGGGGAAGGATAGTCTTTTGAAAAAAAAAAAGATTCTTGAAACATCTAGATATCCACATGCAAAGAAAAAAGAAAAAAAGACTTAAGACATCTTACACTATACAGAAAAATCAATTCAAATTAGATCATAGGCCTAAATGTAAAAGCTAAAATTATAAATTTCTAGAAGAAAATAAAGCAGAAAATCCTTATGACTTGGGTTGAGGACTGTTTTTATATTTTTCAAGTATGACTCAGAATATTAAGTAATATAGCATCAAAATTTAAAACTTTTTCATTTTGAAACATACCATTAATTTTTTAAAAAGACCAGCAGCAGATTGGAAGAAAATATTTGCAAATCATGTATCTGATAATGGCATTAGATCCAGAATACATAAAGGACTCTTACAAGTCAATAACAACCTGGGTTTTTTTTAGTTTTATTTTGGGTTGGTTTTTTTTTTTTTACATTTTTATGAGCATTTATTTGTTGTACAGACGGGTTTCATCCTGACATCCACAATGTATGTAGATGCTTACATTGTATCTTAATTAGAGTCACACCCCCATCATTCTCCCTTATTTCCCCTGCCCCCTTTCTTCTAAGAAGCACATTTTCAACCGGTTTCTATGTTGTATCATGTATACAAAGTACATTGACCACATTCACCCTCTCCATTTACCTCTTCCTACTGGTATCTACCTGTTTTACCTCCCTATCCATTTTTTTTAAGTATATGGACAGCCTAGTTTTTTAAATGGGCAAAATATATGAGTAGCTAGCAAGCCAAAAAAAGATGTTAAACATCATTAGCCACGTGAAAAGCCAACCCACAACAGGATACCTCTTCGCCTCACCAGAATAACCAGCATTTTTAAAAAAAAACACAAAAAACTATGTGGTGGTGAAGTTAGAACTTCTTCCTACAGCAGGATTTTGTCTCCTAAGCACCCTGAGATTAAGGGATATTTTTCTGCTTTCTATGTCTTCATTCTAACTCCTCAGCCCCCCATGCATTTTCAGAATTTTTATAATTAAGCATCATTTTAGCTACAATGTATCTCTACCTTTTTTAAATGTTTACTAAAGTAAAGAGCCTATCCTATATGTCCGCACAAGACCAAAGCACATCTTAGTAGAAATATTCCATAGTCCTCTCCCATTCTGTCTTCAGGTCCTCCCTTTTAAGTTGCACCCCAAACATAAACATTCACTGCAAGCCTTTTCTATGTGAAGACATTAAACACACTGCTTCTGTATAATGTGGATCTTGCATGAACTTCTAACCAGAGGTTGATTTTTCAAAATGAAGGTTTCATAACAACATAAAACTAGATAGACATTAAATAATCTCCATAAGACTAGGTAAGAATCCAACAAAATCAACTGTTGCACAAACCTGATGTATACCTGTGCACATGCAGGGTGGGAAGCATAAAGGTTCAGGCAAGTGACCACATACACCCTACTTGCAATACGTGCAATGGCTTAAGGAATAAACCACGTAAGGGCTAGACTGCTGTTTAGAGTTCCTGGCATTTTAATTCTGTATAACTAGAAATATACAAGTACTGTGCTGGGTATCTTTGGTACTTAACCTCACTAAACATCTTATATTGAGATATAAGTGAAACAGTAACTGCACATCTGTCAAGCTTGTGGCTTCTCAGTATTTCTTTGGAAATCTCATTAGATTTATTCACTAAGCCTCTATGTGGGCCAATATGTCTAAGTTAGGTCCTGTCTCAAGATCCATTTCCAACGTTGACTGCATCAATCTGCCAAGTTTTATTGAACACAACAGTTGTTTCTGTGACCACTGGAGTCTTTGAAGTGCAGCCGCATTTTGGAACGATATTGCTCCAAATACAGAAGTTGCTTGCTGTTGAAAGCTCCTCGCCGCTTTTGTCTTATAAACTGCACTGCATCTTCATTTTTCATTCCGCTTTCAATTAATGCTAGAGCAACAAGCACTGGCGTTCTCCCAAGACCTGCGACACAGTGAACAGCAATACAACAACCAGGTTCTTCACGAAATTTAGTGTTTACAAGTGTTAGCCAGTCCTCCACAATCTGGTTGGATGGTGATGAGCCATCATCAAAGGGCCAATCGAGAACCTGGATGCCTTCCTTCTCCACCAGGGCGGGGTCATAAGTGGCTTCGCACAGCCTTACGATCGTGGTGACGCCGTAGTTCTTAAGCTCCTCAATAAATCGGGTTAGGGTTGCACTGGTTGGGTTGTGCGTGATGAGAAACCTCATGTTCCTGTAGGAGACCTCCACAGGGGCGGGTCGGTTCATGGGAGCCATGTTGATCCGGTTGAGAAAACACTCAATACAGTTAGGAAAACCAATTAAAGTTTTCGGGACACTGATAGGATGTCAAGAGTCGGAAGGCCAACGTCCTCCACTTGCAGTCCCAGCGCTCTGAGCACGAAGCAACGGAAGGCGCCTCCGGGCACGGGGCAGCAGCTCTTCCCCGGGGAACACGGGAGTCCACGCAGGAAGCGCCCGTTTACCCCATCCAGTCAGCCGGGTGGCCTCTCCGCTCGGTGCCGCCCTCCGGCCCTCCTGGGTCCCGGGGGGACTCGCTCGCTAGCCCGTCGGGGGCGTCCCGCTGGAGGGGACGGCCTTCTACAGTTCGCCCGCCTGCCAAAGGTCGTGCTGTGCCTGGCAGTAATCTCCAGGGCCCTTCCGAAACTCCATAAATGCGCGACCGAGAACACCGCAGAAAGGAACAGGTGTACTCATGAAAGACTGTGGCCTAATCATACAGCCACTCCCGCGGTGGCGGCGGCCTCAGGCCCAGGAGCGGTAGGAGGCGTCGCGCGACAGCGGCGGCGGTGGAATCCCAAGTGGCGGAGGAGCTCTGAAGAGCCACGTCGAGGGAGCCAATTCACGCTCTCCCAGGCGCCCTTGCGTCACAGGCCCTCCCTTTTATGGAGTGTGAGCCCCTCACCAATCGCTGGGCAGACCAAGAGCCAATGAGCAGCCCGGGACGTGAGGCCCGCCCCTCGTGACGTCACTGCTGCCGCCGTTAAGGTATTGGATGGGAGATCCCTGGGTCCAGGGAAGAGAGGGTCTGCAGAGGCGGACAAAGCCTGACAGGAGCCAAAGAGGAACGTGGGGGAGACTGCGATGGGGAAGGGAGAAGAAGATATCCAGCCATTGTCGCCAGCCAGCCGTTGCTTCACGTTTAACCGTATCTCTTAGGAACGAGATATTCTAAATCTAAATGGCTTTACATATATTTTATGTGTGGTACTGGGGTTTGAACTCAAGGCCTTCACCTTGAGCCATTCCACCAGCCCCTTTTTGTGAAAGTTTTTTCGAGATAGGGTCTTGCGAACTATTTGCTGGGGCTGGCTTTGAACCGCGATCCTCCCGATCTCTGCCTCCTGAGTAGCTAGGATTACAGAAGTGAGCCACCAATACCAGCTTGCATTGGCTATTTATGAGGTAGGAACTTGCTTTATATCCGGTATCCTAGAGGGCGATCCCCCTATTTAATAGTTATCCCGGTGTACCTGGGATAACAGGCGTGTGCTGCCTCACGTAGCTATTGACTGAGATGGAGAGCTCACAAACTTTTTGCCTGGGCTGGCCTCCTAAGTATCAGGGATTGCAGGCGTGCTTCATCATGCCTGCCTAGCTTTACATAAATTATATAAATGTTGTCGATTTAATACAACAACCCTAAGAATTAGTCATAGAGCTAATAAATGGCAGGTCTGAGATTTGAATTCTGCAATTCTGACTCTGGAGGCTATCTCACTAATACTATGGGCTGTCAGACCATTAATTCTATTGTTACCGTGCTTCAATCACTTGGAAAAAGTCAAATATTTATTTAGAATTTCTTTCCAACCTATTGAAGGAATTTCACATGCTTCAGCTATTAGTACTATCAGGCATCCTATTTTTAATGCCACTGATTAGATGCTATTATTTCATTGTTTAACTTTCTTTGCTCACTACTCCTTCTTGTATCTCCATACATCTCTCTGAGGTTATATCCTTTATCCAGAAGCACCTTTTGGCCATTCCTTTAATTCCGTGTGATCAGCTTTGATAAGTGTTTTGCATTTGCTTGCACAAACACATTTTCTCCCTGTCAATGCATTTTCCATATTGTTGGCAAGCTTTTCTCATTTTTCTTTGGTTTATCAGCTTTTTTTTTCCCCTGGGGGTGATACTAGAGGCAGGGAGAAGGATGTAAGGAAAGTGTGTAGGAGGCTGAATATGGTAGAAATATTCTGTACACGTGTATGTAAATGGAAAAATGAGACCTGTTGAAACTATTCCAGGAATGGGGGAGGGGATAGAGAGAATCATAGGGGAGGTGAATTTAACCATGGTATATTGTAAGAACTTTTGTAAATGTCACTACCTCTCACTAATATAATAAAAAGAATTATTTTGGTTTGCTGGGTGCACAATTCTACATTGACATTTACTTTGTCTCAGCTTTTTAAAGATACTCCTTGTTCTCAGGTGTCTTTTATAATAGCTGTTAGAATTTTCTAAAGTTTCTTTCTTCCTGACCTGTATATGGTCTTTAAGAAGACTTTTTTCTTCCTTGCTCTTCCTTATTGTTCACTCTTCTTTCTTTTCATTTCCTCTTTAATAATTCATTCCACTAGATGGGGCTGAGCAAAGTCATCAGCTGTACAGGGGACAAGGACACAGAGGTGGCAGCACAGAATACCAGAGTCCTGGGTGGGAGGAAGGGGTAGTGAAAAGTCATTCATGCAACAGTTGGAGTGGTAATAGAAGCCAGGTGCAGACTCTCAAATGCCAAGCAGTGTGGAGATGCATGGATGGACAGTAGTGATCCAAGATATGTAAGAGTTCTGGTAATTCACTGAGGATAATGGGAGTCAGATTGTTTTACTGTCAGAGGCAGGAGTTTCAAATACGGAAAAGAGAAAAGCAAAATTAATCTTAGAATTTTGAATTGGTATTGGTGGTACCTGTGTGTACTCATCATTTTCAACATATAGTAGTAGAAATATGGGGGGGTGCGTGCATGTGTGCAATATATGTACATGTACGTGACCGTGTGTGCACATATTCTTGCATATGTGCGTCTGAATGCACATGCATGCAGGTGTTGTGTACACATGTATATACGTGGCATGTGCAGATATGTGGGCCTGTGCATGAATTCCCTAGTTTCATTACAGAGAGCAGAGAGGTCCTGAAGCAATAACAACCCTGTAGCATGAGCACAAGTCAGATCATGTTTATTTAAACACCATTTTCCATGAAAAGAAGACTCGCTGGAAAAACAGCTGAATCCAGAGCTGGGACAGGGAGAATGCCAGAGTGGCTGGAACATCTTATTATGCCAGAAAGCAAGGAAATGGTGAAGAGTGACAGGAATATGACAAAGGGATATAGAACACAGACCAGAGGAGGAGACATGACAGCTAAATGCAACTTGGTATCTTACATCTTGGAACAGAAAAAGGATGTTAGGGGGGAAAAAGTAATGACATCTAAGTAAAATGTGAGATTTAATTAATAGTACCATTGTTCCTTATTGTGACAAGTGTATCATAGTAATGCATGATGTTAACAATAGGGGAATCTAGGTGAGTGTGTACTGGGGAACTCAACACCATTGCTACTTTTCTGTTAGTTCTAAACAAAAACATAGATGCCAACTTCTAAGTGTCCACACTGGCCATGTTTCTATATAAAAAGTGATGAGAATGGATCATAACTCATCAAAAAAACAAACCCATGAGTCTATGCTAATGTAAACAAATGGGAGAAGCAAATGTTTGCCTTAGAGTAGACTGCAAACTAAATAAACAGAGCAGGAATGGGGTGATTAGAAAAATCTCTACTTGGCAATCACCACCACAATTACTCATTTATCAAAGAAAGTCAATATATGCTAAAACTATCAGGCAAAGTTAATTTGAAATGGGATATTTACCTTCAAAAGTAACTGCAACAAAAAACTAACTAGTTACCAATGAAAAATTGTAACATTATAGTGCAGAAACTTGGCATACAGCAACTCAATCAAATGATCAAAGTAAGATGACCAGTAATTAGACAAATTGAATTGTGTACCACCTAAGAAGATGGATTGCAAGGAATGTGGTATCGTATCTGTGATATTCCTGCCAAAAAAGTACTATACTGGAATTTAATCATGAGGAAATATCAGATAAATCTAAATTGAAGAATTGTAATCCTCCTGTGATCTTCCAGAGTGTCAGCCATGAATGGCCAGGAAAAGCTGAGGAACTGTTTCAGGTGGAAGGAGATTAAAGATGTATGATTATAAATGTAATACAGGATCCTTTTACTTAGCTGCACTATTGAGACAACTGACAAAATCTGAGTGGAGTCTTTGGATTATGTAGTAGCAATGAACCAATGTTAACTTAGTGATTTTGATGTTTATTATTTTGTGAGGCATCTTCAGCATTAATTCTAAAAAGCTCTAGGGCACAGGTAATGAGCTGGTGGCTATCTTGTCTGTGTTCTTGCTCCCATTTTGTGTTTGTCTCTGGAGACTTTTCTTGCAGATTTACAGGGTTTTTTAAAATATCTTAGCCAATATTTTGTAGCTTCCTCCTCTCAGCCCTCCAAATTTCAGGATATGAAGGATGGACAACTGTCCATTTAAGCTCCATTTTTCCATACGGTGGATGTATTTTGTATTTATATACGAAAACAGAATAATGAAACCTGTTGAAATTGTTTTCAGAAAGGAGGAGTGTGACTCTAAAATATTGTAAGCACATATGTAAATAACACAATATGTTCCCCTGTACAACTAGTATATGCTAATATATTTTTTTAAAAATCCATTTTTCCTCAATTCATCCTACTATTTCTCTAGAATTTCACTGGACACAAGTTGTCTGAACTTCAGGATTCATTTCCCAAACTCCCTGTGCAGTGAGGTAATAGTCATGTGACTTAAGTTTTGGCAAATAGGACATAAGCAGAAATAATGATGCCACTTCCAGACCAGACCCTTAAAAGAAATACACACTTGCTCTCTAGTCCCTTCCTCTCTCTCTTTTCACTTCCCAACAGCCATGGGGAGAATATCTTTCCTTCCCCATGCACTTCCTGCCATGATTACTTCCTCACCACAGGCCCAGAAACAACAGAGCCAACTGACTGTAAATTGAAACGTCTGAATCCATGAGCTGAAATAAACCTTTCCTCCTTATAAGTTGTTTACCTTAGGTATTTTGTCACAGTAACAGAAAGCTAACACAAAGCTAAAGAAATGTGGTATAGCTACACAATGGAGTATTATTTGTACCTAAAGAATG